AGTAGAAATTAGAGAAAGAAAAAATCAGAAGTTGGTATACTAGTTGAGACAAAATAGAAAAAGCATCTTGGCAAAATACTTAGACATAAAGAATATTTAATTGAAGTATATTTTTATTTTAGACAAGTAAAACTAATAGTAATAGTAGTATATATACTACCAAATGATATAATAAAACAAAAAAGGCTACAACAATTAATAATTAAAAGATATATTGTACAATTAGCAGAATTATATTTTATTGTAATAAAGAACTTTAATTATATAGTAGATAGTATACTAGACAAAAAAGATAGTATAATAGTAGTAAAAAACAAAGTTTTTCTGCTATACAAATAGTTTTAAAACTAAGGTTATTTAGATATATTTAGATTAATTAATTCACTTCAAAGAAGCTTCATGTGATTAAACAAGAAAACCAAAATCTAAATAGATTAAATATAAGTATCAAAGGATCTAAGTATTGGTATTAACCAAGCAAAAATCAAAAAAACTAAGTTTATAATAGCATGTGACTATGAAATTGTGTTAGCATCAATTTCATTAAAACATCTAATCAGAAACTATAGTGTAGCAAAAGCACAAAAAAAAGGTATAACAAGACCAATTTCGAGTATAACAAAGCAACTGATGAAAATTAGAAATTCTATTGTAAAAATCTAGATCAGTACTTGGGTAAAAATAAGAGACTAGTTATACTATATAAAAGTGAATTTAACAAGATTATTGATCAGATGTGATAAAGCATATAGCAAACAAAAGTATACTAAAAAAAAAGAATTACAAAAAAAGAAGACAATGTAAAGCACAAATTCAAAGTAACAAAGCTTTATTAAAAAGTAGTTTGATTAAGGGTAGGGTGTAACTATTTTCAAATTCATATAAAATAGATTGTAAATCAACAATATATAACCAATATTATATAGTATTATATAATTTATATATAAACAACATGTGATTTAACTGATCATAATTAGTAATTTTTGTGTAACTAAAAAAATATATATAGTATCTAGAGAAATTTTTAGCTATATATAAAGTTAATTTTTTTTAAAACTATATGTATTGTATAACTTTATTATTATTATTTTTTTTTTTAATATTTAAGGTGAGACTTTGCTCTTATCTTTATTAAACTTAATAAAAACTTTTTACATAATTAAAAAAGGTTTTATATTTTAAGCCTAGTGTTAAGAATAAAAACTCAGACATATTACTAAAAAAACTTAGTGATTCTTTATTATTATAAACAAACTATTTTAAACTACATATTATATAAATTTGATACAAATTGGCTAAGATATTGAAAAGTTATATTAAAAGCACTTTTTTGTTTATAATATAAAAATTCAATATACTACATGACTAATTTTACCAATCTATTTTTCATGTTGATCTTCATAGATATTGATTTAATATTACTGTATTACTGTTTTACTATTACTATTACATTATTATCACTTATTAATTTTTTTTAGTTTCTGTATTATTCACATAATCAAATACTTTAGATTTAGTGAAATTTTATTTTTTAAAGCCAGTACTAAAGTCTAAAAAAAAAATTAGAGAAAGTATAAACTTAGTAATATTTAGTCAGATATTAAATAAATAAATAAAATCAAGAAAAAAGATAAATAACTAGCATTTATAAGTTAATATATATACTGTTTTATTAAAAAATATTTTAATACTTATATTTATGCTAGTATCGTTAAGTTTTTTTTTTAATATTATAAAGCATAGTAAATAGATATTACATATTTTAAATTTTAGAAGTGCTATATTTATGTAGGTATAACAAATAATATTAGATAAGCAATAGAAAATTCTAAGAAATTTATAAATGTTTTACTAAATATATATTATATTGATTATACTTTATTAAATAGATAACCTCTAAATATCTCATATCTTATAGTTTAACTTTTATATGATGATTTCTGCTGCTATTTTTTTTTGTTCAAGTAGAATAATGTTGGTATCAGAAGCTATGAATCTATAATAACCTGTTTCTTTGTATACAATATTGACTAGATTTTGTGCTTTTTTAAAATTATCTAAAGTAACAATATTATGAAGGTAAGACATTAAAGTATTTTGGTTGCTATAGTTAAAATGTTCTTGTGCTAGTAAATATTTAAATTTAACTAGAGTTTGAAGAAATACTAGATTATTTTGTAATTATTGAACACATTTTGCAATAGATTCTAAGAATTCTTGTTAATAAATAGCAACAGCATTTAAATTATTAATATCAGTCATGTTGTATTTTAGTAAAGTTGATGCAGATATAGATGGGTTTGATTATTTCAATTAAATATTATATCCAAGTACATGTCTAATATAAGTAAAAATCTCTTTAGATAAGATCAATGTAGAGCTATGATTATTATCTTTATCTTTATATTTAATATCTTCATTTTCAATATCTTCATTTTCATTATCAATATTATCTTCATTACTAATATCATAGTCATTATTTTTTAGAAATTGTAGATGTTTCAAATTTATCAGCATATATATTAAATTGAATAGTTTTAGATTCTTGATAAGTTGGAAAAGCTATTTCAAGCAAATATAAATATTGTTCTTGCTTATAAAGATCTTTGATATGAAGAGCTATAGTACAAAGATGTTTGCAAATAATTTTTTTTTAAAGAAAGTCAAGATATTGGCAACCGATATTAGTTGGTTGCCCATATACACAGGTTGTATAAATTAATCTAGGTATAGTTTCAAATTTGACTTCAATATAAATATTTTCAAAAAGTTTGTCTACCTTATATTTTTTTATTTTATTCATGTCAATTAGTTTTTTTGCAAGTTTATTATATTTTTCACTTGGAGATAAATATGCAACTTGCAAAAACTCTTGCATAATAACTTCATGATTAGATGGGTCTATTATATTAAGGTCTCTTCACTGTTTTGATTTTTTATATTCAATATTTATAGCAAGGTTTCACAATGTCAAGATATTTGAAATAACTTCATATAAAAAGTAATATATAATATATCAGCTCTTAGAAGATGGTTATTTCTTTAAAATTGACTTAGCTGATTATTTTTTAAATACTTATTCATCTCTTCAAGATAGTTATTTATAGTAGGAAGTTTTTCTAAAAAAAATTTCAAGAACTTTTGCAGTATTTATTTATTCATTAAGACACCAACTAGATAAAGGATCTTTGCTCATTTTTTTTCAAGTAAGAAAAAAAATTTAAGCCACCTTCTAGAATCTTTTTATTTTCTAACAAGATTTTTGCTTTATAAATATATTCTAATGCTTTTTTTTTTTTTTGTAATATAATTATAAACAATCTTCTCACTACTATCTATTAAATATGCCGTATTTAAGACACTTTTTAAAAATGCTTTTAAGATTTGGCATAATAAAATTAGTTTATTTTCACCACTATGTTCTAATTGTTTATTAATCTCATTTTTCTAATATTGACTGATATAAAAGTAACAAAAAAGTAGAATAATTTCTGGCTATACTTTTGATAATAACTTTTATTTTATTATATCAGCATTAGTCATTATAATACAGGGGTTAAATATAACTAAGGTAGTTAAAGATTGATTCTGATTATAATTATTACTAATTTTATTATGAAAAATTGTAAAAAGTTACTCCAGAATTTTATTATCATATCCAGAAGATGTTAAATAATTAAATTGAAATAGAATAAAAGAAATAAGAATACCTTTATTATTTTTATTGATGATTATAATAATAAACAAGAATAATTTATGCTTGCTAATTTTGAAAGTTCTATCAATAAGAATAAAATTTTGATAACTATATTTCTATGCATATTTTTGTTGCTCATGAATACAAATAATGATCTCAAGATATTTAGTCTTTTTTGTAAGAGGTTAATAATGCAAACATGCTTCCTTTAGTTCAGACTAATTTGCTTTTGGTCCAAGTATTTGATCTAGATTTTTTGCTACATCATGTTTAATATCAATATTCCATTTACTCTATAGTACTTGTTTCTTAATATTAGTGATATCTATTGTTATAATAATCAATTCTTGTCTTTCTGGCCACAATAAGATCCTTTGTATAGACTCTTGCCTTATGTAAAAAAGAGTGTAAAAAATCTGATAAATCTTAATATAAAAACTTCAGATATTCTTTTTTAGAATACAAGAATCATAAAGAATAAGTTTGGAAATTGCACCTTGATAGAAAATTTTAGAACATTGCTTATATTTCAAGTATTTTGCAATATCGCAAATTTCATTATTATAAAGAAAAATTGAAATAAATGCTAGACACTCTACATAGAGATACTGTATTACTATAGCTTGAGAAGTAGATATAATATTCTTTTCTTGATAACTTTTACTTATATATTGTTTAATTATTAATGTTTTAGTTGATTGCTGAATAACCTTTTTGTATTACACATTATCAGAGTTAATATTAAAACTATTTTCTTCAAGAAATTTGTCATGATTTACAATATCTTGCTCGTGAGATAAACCTCATTCTTTTTCAACAACATCAGATATACCAATATTAAGCAAATATTTAAGCCTAGATCTATTTTCTTTTTTTAGCAAAAGGTGAGAGTTTAATTTTGCCTTTATTTTTATTTTGTAACTGCCTCTTTTATTAATTTCATTAGATTCAGAATTCAAAGAAGATATCTTAATTTAAAGTTACTATGAACTAGAATAAAAAGTGATTAAATAAATATATCTATGTTCTTTATAATTATTGGTAATTGTATAATAGGCTAACTTTATATTTTTTTATTTAATATATTTTATTGATATATTTCTTATTTATCAATTAAAAAATTTTGTAATTTATTAAAATTTGTTTATTCTGTTTAATTTAGTTTTACAACAGGTATTAAATTATGATTTATCTAAATTTTATCATATAATTAGCATAATAGAATAGACACAATAGACTCTATTAGACTTGCTCACAAAAATATAGTTTATATTATAAATTTTATATACTATTACTTTTGACTATGAATAACTGTAACTATATGACTAATAATTTATGTGATATACTGAAGTATGTCATTATATAATAAATTTATAATGTAAGCTTATATTTTTTTGTATGTGTTAGACAGCTAACTAAATTATGTATTTATTATATAAAAATTTCCTCTTGGATCTCTGATATAAGTAGAAAACAAAAAAAAAATTAAAAAAATTAACTATAAAATAAAGTTTAATAGCAGAACATGACTGTATATACAATAATGTTCACTAGTAAGTTAGCAAATTGATTTCTATTACGATTTTTAATAAGAATATAATCAAATTTAAAATATAATTTAATTGTGTATAATAGCAAAGTTTATTCACTGCAATTGATTATTCATACTTATTATTAGTCAATTCCATTCTACTAGTTTTTATTAGTATCATATATATTTTTAAACAACATTTATATCCTGCATCTAGATTATTAAAAGCTATTATTGAACTATAATTCAATAGATAATTTAATACAAAAATTATATTAGTTAGAAAGTTAGATTTTAGTTTTAATAATTTATAAAAATAGAACACCAAAGCACTCATAATAATAAGTGTGACTTACTTAGTCTATACACTCTAAATAGAGTTGTTAATAGAGTGCTCTATCAATAATAAAACATATAACCACTTTAGAGCACTCCAGAAGCAGGTTATATTATATTTTACTATACATTAACAATCTAGCTCTAAGCACTAATATCAAAATATATAATATTTGATAGCTTATAAACTCAAAGTTTTTTTAAGAATAAATTAAAAAAAAGTAGCCAGAATTTAATAAAAAAATTATGCTGTTTGACTAATACTATAGGAAACTTTTTTTAAAATTAAATTTATACTAAATACTACAGTTTGCTTATTTTTTTTCTTAAAAGTTTTTATTTATTTATTTATTTATTTAATATCTGTAATGAATATTACTAAGTTTATACTTTTTTTAAATCCTTTTTCTAGACTTTAGTACTAGAAATTTTACTAAACTTAAACTATTTGATTACATGATTAATATGAACTTAAATAAATAATGATAATTGTGTAATGGTAATGGTAGGACAGTAATATAGTGATGTTAAATCAATATCTATAAAGATTGACATGAAAAATGGGATGATAAAATAAGTTATACATTAAACTGCATTTACTAATTTTCCCCCAAGTTCTATTGGTCGGCGCTTTTAATTAGATCAAATTGATGATCCTTAATAATGTGATATATTTATTTACTGTAGCCAATAAATATAGCTAAAAATATACTAATAACAATATCAAACACATATTTTGTATTTTTTATTGCTTTTGCTTTCAGCTTGTTTTGTAAACTTTAAACTTTAACATACTGCTAAAAAGCTTTTAAATTTAAATATAGGCTAAATTTTGTTTAGAAAAGTAAAATAAAAGATAAATTACAGTTTGGTAAGTATTTTTTATACTTTTTATATTAGGCCCAAATTTAAAACTATATTGCTTTTAAATCTTTTATTTATTTAATATGCTTGCAATGTGTTAAATATAATCTAAATTATCTAGGAATCTTAAATATATTAAGTAATCTAGACAATATGAGCTAAGTTTATATTTCCTCTTAATCCTTGTTACATCTAATACATGTTATTTCAAGTATTTTTTCTAATATTCGTGTTCCTATAATATGTCAAGTATGTTCTGAATTTTGTTAGATTATTTTAATAGTCTTGCATATATTATGTAATCTAAAATAGTATTAGTTAAGTCAATGCTATTATGGTGTAGATATAATTGACATTAGTAGTCTTTTATGAGCATAAATAGTAATAGAGAAATATGAATCACAGATATTTGTAATTATATATGCACTTGGTAGTGATTATTTATATATAAGATGCTATTAACTAATAAATAGTATGGTAACTCAGTACATATATAAGCTTTCTAATAGCTAAAAACTCTTAATATGTTAAGAAATAATAGATCTCTAACTATCGTGTTATGTAAATTATGCATTTGATAATTATAATTGAACAAAATTTAATTTCACAATTTTTATTAATTATTACTATTGAATTATATATTAAATGAATTAAATTATTGTATTATATAAATTATGTATTCAATGCTTATAATTAAACAAAATTTAATTTTATAATTTTTTATTAATCATTATCATCGAATTATTAAATATCTTTTTTTTTTTTTTTTTAGCGATCATGTTATATTTTATTTAGAAATAAAGTAGTTATATTATCAAATGCTATTACTACCTTCAGTATTAATATCTTAAAACTAAAATACAATTCGTCCAGTTACCATGGGTACCTATCCGTGATCTGCCAAAACAAAAGTTTGTCTCCTCTCCTATGTTAGGACTACCTGCTAAAGGGGTTCACTAACTGAACCTTGCAGCCGATCATGATCGCATCCTCCTTCCTTCACAATTTTTTCTACCTAGATCTAGGTGGAAGAGTAAAACCCTTACTTTTATCCAAGAAGAGAACTCACTAGCCACAATTACAAAAGAAATTTAAAAACTCAAAGCTAGTTTAAAAAAAGAGAGAGAAAAGAAAAGAAAAACAAAGAAAAAAGAACAAAAAGAAGAAAGAAAAGAAAAAAAAATGAATAAGAAGTAGAACCTAAACTCTATTCAATTATAACTAAAAAAAGATGAAAAAAATATAAAAGAAGAAAGAAATAAACACAATCTTAATGGCACTATTATAACCTGTGCTAGGCTTAAAAATTATATATCAAATGCAACATTTGTATATCTTTACTGTAAAGCTATGCCTTAACAGAAAATTTCTTCCTGCCTATCCAAACATTCGTGTGTGGCTTATTAGATAGAGGCCTTATCACATGGAGTAGTGCCGTATTCATCAGTAAACAAAATATATAGTTGCAATCTACTGTGATGTCCCGATTTGAATGGAGTAAACAATGCTGATCTTTTGACAGAGGTAAGCTGTTTTGCCTACTTTTTGCAGAAAATTTGTTAAAAAAATAAGTGGGTGATAGTGTGAAGTATAGCTTTTATACTTTTCTTAAAAGATTGTATATTTTTTTCCAAAGCCAATAAAATATATAGAGCCAAGTGTACTATTAGTTTTCTTATTAGTAGGTAATAAACTCTAAACTTGTTAGCAAGTAGCATATGAGAACTACTTCTAAATAACAAGTGCCGTCTCCATGGTGAGTGATATCTCTAGGCCTGTTAGCAGGTAGCGTATAAGAACTATCTCTAAATAACAGATGCCGGTTTATAGTTTTGACCAGTCTTATTTTCTTTTTTTCTACCATAGTTTACTGTTTTTTTGAAAAAAAGGTTTGTTGTAATTTTGGTACAAGAGATTGTCAATAGAGTTGATTGTCAAATTATTAAATATTGATATTAAATAAATTAAATTATTAAATATTAAAAATAAAATTTATTGAAAAAAAAAACAATTTTAAACCAAATTTGGTTTAGGCTTATATAAAATTAATAAACAAATTTTTTAAAGCAAAAATATATAATTTTAATTATACATATTGCTGCATTAAAGAAATATTCAATAAAGATAAGTTTTGACCCACCATTATGCATATAGCCAAATTAGATATTTTGAACAGTGATCGCCTAATCTAGGTTGATTGCTACATCTACCTTTATTCAATCTTCAGATTATAAATAGGGATAGAAAAGTTTGAATTGGTTTAATATATGTAGCTACTGCATACAGTATATTATAAAATATAATAAACCAATCCAAACTAATCTAAACTGTTCTATCCCTAATTATACCCCACTATATGCATAATTTTTAGAATGATTACACAAATATATGTATGCATACAGTATAGGTTTAGCAAATTAGATGAATAATAAAAATAATAAGAATATAACAGAAAAGGTTTATCTGATATAGTAAATAAAATAAACTAATAAATAATATTTTGTCTATATGCTATATTAATATTATAAGAGCAATTAGATAGAATAGATCACAGTAAAATAATATATTTAAGGACAGATTCTTCATTCAAGTTGTAAGGCAAACCAAAATCTAATAGATATTTTACAACAAAATATTTATTAGTACTTTTTCTTTTAACTTAATAAAAATATACTTTCTTTATCTAATTATTCTTTATGTATATAAATTATCTTTGTTTATATCTTTATTAAATCGACTTTATAAAGTGTGCAGTGGTGTAAAATTATTAACTATAATAAAATAAATTTAATATTCTGAAGCCCCACTAATTCTTGTATTTTCAAAATATAATAAAATACCTTTTAATAAATTTATAATATGTTGTTGCTACTAAGTATTAATATGATTTTTGATATTGAGGAAGAAAATATGAATATTAGTGATAGAAGTAATAATAATTTCAATAATATGCTTGATTACATTTTAGATGCAACAGACAGTGCAGGCCAAGGATGGGAAACACAAGATGATAATAATGCAATATAGGAAAGACTAGCACAAGCAGAAAGATCTAAAACTTACTATCTTTTAGTTAAAAAATATGCAGAAAGGATTAAAAATCTTGAGAAATTAGGGCTTAGTATATTAAGCATGACCGTCAGAGACAAATCAGCTTAAAAAAAGAAAATCAATGATCAGAAAGATAGTACTGCTATTGATATAGTATATATGAGAGCACTGCTTGAAAGGATACTACAAAAAAGCCATGCCTAGTACAAAAAGAATCAAAAAAATATGAATACAAAAGTTATATCCATGTTGCTCTTCTCGTTGTCTTAACAACAGTAGTTCTATAGCATTACTATAAATATTTAAACTACTATCCTGGCCAATTGTTAGATTTATGCATGCTTCTTCTTTCTGATAATATTAAACAATTTATTCAGCAATGTGCTCTTGAAGGGCTTGATGCCTTTAGCATTTAATAGCTCTTGCATTTTCAAGGAATTGAGCTTTAAAATCAAGTTCAATTATTAGAAAGTAATCAAAGCAATGAATCTCAACAAAATATTTAACAATTATCCATCATTTTACTATGATCAGACTGCCAAATAACTTTGGTTATTTGGCAGTGGCCACGTGCTTTTTGCCAAATAACCAAGTTATTTGGCAAAAAACACGTGGCCACTGCCAAATAACTAGTTATTTGGCAGTCCGATCATAGTAAACTGCCGGATAACACCGTTATTGAATACTACGCACCAATAACTTGTTTATCTGACTTTCAGCCAGATAATGGAGTTATTTTTCAAATAACTCCCATTATTGGATGCTTCGCATCCAATAACTATATATTACGGAATGAATTAGCAACTAAAGAGGATATATATACAATTGTATATGATACTATAAAAGCATGTATTTATTATAATACTAATAAAATAAAATCTTTAGACAAATGGAAGACCAAGATAATTGGCATAGGTAGGTATTGTTTATTTGAAAGCTACAATCAAGAACAAACCTTAAATATTGTTGATACTAGATTTTTATTTATCTTTTAAACAAAAAAACAAATAGAGTTAATGCAATATACTAGAGTTTTATGCTTAAACAGTATATGTGAAATAAATCAATATAGCTATCACTTTCTTACTCTTCTTATACAGCTCTTATGGCTAAATATGGGTTTCTAATTGTATTTTTAATAAGTAAATATAAAAAAACAATAACTTTAAAGAAATGGATGGAATTTTTAAAATCTGTACATACTGATTGGAATCTAGATATCTTTATAGTTGATGATGCAGGTAAGGAGATTAAAGCTATTGAAGAATATTTCCTAGATAGTATGATATTATTATTACATTTTCATGTATTAAGGTCTTGGTATATGAAACTATATTATAATTCTGGTTCAAATATTGATAAATATAAGTTAGCTATTTGGAGAGACCTTTGGCAGTTAATGAAAACAGAGGAATGGGATAATTTAGAGATGAATAAACAAATTACTGAAGCACTAAGTAGATGATGAAGCTTTAGTGTCAAGGCAGTGAATAGTTTTGCTAATTACTTCAAGCATTGGTGAAAACCTAAATATGATAAATGGATAGTATGTTTAAAGAGAATATTCAGAGATATGATTGATACAAACAATCTGATTAAGACATTCCACCATAAATTAAAATATGTTTATATGAGAGAAAGACCAAGGTGATAGATTGATAGTGAAGTATATCTTCTATCAAAAATCATGCTTCGAGACTTAGAATTTTTAGTTTTTGTAGATGAGTTAAAAGTTGGTAGAATGAATTCACAAAGGTGCTGCAAAGGATTCGAGAGATCACAAGAACTACAAAAATTAACTAAACTGATATTTATAGTGTTGGATCTGATATTTGGTTTATAAGTTCTATAATAAATAACAATGTTAAATATTCTGTTTGAAAAAAAGATTCAGAAGTTAGTAACAATGATAATTTTGATATATCTTCATATATTTGTAATTGTCATAATTTTAAAATATGATAATTGCTATATAAGCATATTTTTGCTATACTTAATAAGCTTCATGCTAATGTAGTATAGAGAAAGGTTATCATGACCATCTTATGCATAATATAAAAGTCCTACTTCTGAAGAACTACATAATTCTCTCATCTCCATTGGCCCTCTAGATGATAAAACTTTGAGCTTACAAAGTTACAAGAAGAGCTTGCGTCAATTGTTGAAGAATGGAAAGAAAAAGAAAGTCGAGATATTCATAGTTTACGTTTGACGCTTAGACAAACTATTCAAATTGAAAGAACAAAAATTGCAAGAATTAATGTTGTAAGTAGTAATAATAAATTAGAAGGATTCAATATAGCGCCAAACTCAGGAATTAGAAAGCAAAATAAATTTTAAATATATTGTTTTATATAATAAATTTTTAATAAATATAAAATTACTTATCAACTAAAATTTCGAATAATAATACTTAATTTTGTTATAAAACATAAAATTTAATTAGTTTAAAATTTTTTTTATCCCAAATCAAACCAAAAAATTTGTATAAAATAACCAATAGTAAAAAATATAAAGTAATTAAACTAAATATACTTAACTAGATCCAATTCATTTTTCTAAGAGATCACCATTGTCCTCAATTATATTAAGATTAGATAATGAGAATTGTCTTAATACCTCTAACTAATGTATTAATTAATTCAGTATAATATCAGAAAAAAAATGGTATCAGCTAACACTGAATTAATTCTAAATGTTTTATCATACTAAAAGACACTACCGATAGCAAGCCGGACTTAGCTTATTAGCTCGATAAGAAGAGCAAGCCAGCAAGAAATTGAAATCTATTTGTATAATAAAATTATATATCTTACTGAATAGAAAAACAGAATTCAGTCTAGATCGAGTTCTTTTGCTTGTATACGTATTATCGACAAATAGAGTTAGAACACAATTCACAAATTAAAAATGTATAGTAATGAATATAATGAAAGAAATCATTATACTAAATTAAGCAAAGCAAAGATTTATTACAAATAAAATTAATCTATACCTGAATACTTAATTTAACAAAAATGGCTAAGTTCTATTTTACATATTTTACCTAACGATGCATACAAGTTATACGATAAAAATAGCAAATTATTGCTCACATCTATTAATTAGATAGTTAAAAAAAAAACTATTAAATACCTTGCTTGCTTCTCTTCAATTTTTAAACAATTTATTTTTCATCTTGTAGTTAGAAGTAGTCTCAGTTTTCTTTCATTTTTTTGTAAAAAAAAAAAAAAAAATAGAACTCTATATATAACAAAATTTAGCAAAAATAACTTCGATTTTACACGTTATGGCAAACCTTTACAAGACAGTTATAACCAAATTGTCATCTTATAACAGTAATGATCAAATTAGTAACCCAATTATTATTCCCTATGAACCATTACAAGACTATTAAGTCTAAACTAAAGTTACATACCAATGTCTTCGCCAATCCAATAGAATGGGAAATCGAAAAGCATTATTATAGTATGCTTATTATTTAGATGAACTTTTGGAAATGATGCCACCAAATCAAAGACCATTTTGTATCAAGCAACTTCCCTGATACTATGCTACCGCGGCTGTTGGAACTTATTATATTTTCCACAAATAAGGTACTACTAAAATTAGCCAAAGAAATTAAAATTGCCAATGATTTACAAATTAAAAGATTATCAAAGAATTATAAATTAAGAAGTAGCTTTTAAGATGTCGGGTATTCCCGACAGTGTTACCTAGATATTTGATAATACTTTTAAAATTTTAGTTAATTTAGTAAAGGTAATATTTTTTTAAATGTAATAAAAATAGAACCTTTATAGTTTCTCTCTCTTTTTTTTATAATAAATAAATATTAAACAAATAAGCGATAAATATTAGTAAAGTAAGCAATAAGTATATGAAACAAAGTAAGAATTTGTTGCTGGATCATTCCAATCTAACTGTAAGATGTAACCAGCCGAAAGTTCAAAGCAGCATGAAAAAAAACCTAACAGTAAACAGATAAACTTCAAAAGCAGTAATAGTAGTACGGCATACTGGCATGCGCGCAATATCACGTTATTGAGAATCGTCAATTTGATCCAATCAGAAGCGCCGACTAATAGAAACTTGGGGGAAAATTAGTAAATGCCATTAAACCTACGGGCCGCACAAAAAATGCGCGGATGATCCTTGATTCTGATTGGCTAAGAGTGACGATCAAAAAATTAGGCCGGAATTACTCATAATTTTACTAATGAAATCGCAGCCGCCTATTAAGTGAAAATTGTTCCTGGGCCAATTTTACCATAATGCGTGCTTATTTTTTAAAAATTTCTATTTTTATAATGAAAAAATTAAAAAGTCAAATCCGGCCGGAATTTAGTAAACAATTTTGTAATGCGGGCCAAAATTTCGAAGATCACCGGCCGTTAGCCAATCAAAATCGAGGATCATCCGCGCATTTTTTGTGCGGCACCTATAGATCATATGAAAATTGATCTACGTACACCCTACACTTATGCAAATTAATTAAACCAAATAAAAAGGACATCCAAGAAACTAGTGGCCATTTGCACATAAAGAAGTCGATGAAGCAATAGAGAAAGTAAACAAAGAAGAAGATTATAGCATATTTCAAGTTCTAGAAACTAGTATGCATGACACCCATAGAATTTAAATTTCATCTAGTGTGTTTTATTTATTTGTTTTTTTGTACGACTTAGGACATCCTGGACTAAAATCAGTTGATCCCGTTTACTGTTTACCAGAGAAATATTATTATAACGAAAAAGGAAATATCATGTGTTCTGCGTCCACAATTTAGGTCGATTCCAATTGACCTAAGTCATTTTTAAATTTTGAAATGATGTATGTTATTTCTCAATCGGTGAAAACGTATATTTATAGGACTAGTTTTTGATAAATAAGCTATAAAAAATTTACATAAACTTTTGCATATAAAATTAATTAAAAAAGTAATATTAAAAACAAAATGCTTTATAAATTTAAAAAAAAATTCGCATAACTAAAAAATTGCATCAAGCTAAAAAAGAATCTCATCGATTTTTACATTCACCACGTAGAACACATCCACATCGTCGTGTACATAATAGATATTTTTTCAGCAGAAATCTTTTGTGGAATAAAACAATACTATATAAAGTTTTTCAGTAGTACCAACCAACATAAAGATTTTAAAATTATGAGCTACCCAATATTTAAAATTTAGGTTTTGTTAATCGGTTGTATTTTTAAGTTTGATTATATTTATTCGATCAATTAAACTACGTTTGTTTTTCTTTGACGAATAAAAGTTTCTAATATTCGATCAAAGGTTTCACGCACTAGGGAGTTGTATCATTCCATATTTAAAAATTAATAACGAAAAATAACTACTTTACAGAAACCTAAATATCTTAATATGCAGTAACTGCGTAGTAACGGCAAAGTAATTACATAATTACTATTAAATTTAATAGTAACCACATAGTTACTATGCAGTTACTGCGCATTAAGAGATTCAAAGTTTCTGTATAGTAAGATTTTTAAATCAATGACTTTATTTTTTTACCACTAATTAATATGACTATGTAATACATTTGTAGTATAATAAATTAATAAGTGATTTTGAGGTTTAATTTTTATTAAAATTTTGGGATCAAGTGCCCTTCCATTTTCCGCTGGGGGTATGACCAATCATTCTGTATGACAAATAAGCACCGACTAAATATATTTATCTAAATAATTAGCCGGTGCTAATTTATCACACCCAATTGATTGGCCACACCCCAACGCCCAAGTTATTTCTAAATCGGTGAGAATTTAAGAATGATGTAGATCTGACCTAAATTGTGAAATGACGTCGAACATTTATACTTCAAAAAAAGTGCACACATTTTTTTGACAGCCCTAAATATGCATAATGACACATATTTAGTTGTATTTTTTGGTTTAGAATCATCTGTGTTGTAAATGTCATATTTTATGGACGAACCGATCTTAATGCTTCGACACATGACCGATTGACAAATGATACCTGTCAAGTAATTTCTGAATGACGAATTGATGAATTGCGAAACCTATGATGAATTACAATGATTTTTTAAAAAATGTTACACGAAATTATAAAAAATTCCGACATATCTACTGTAAATGTAACATGGGGTGTCATTAATTATTAATGACAAAATGATAAATAAATTGTTACAAGTAACATTTTAGTTACATCTGTTCTTCAAACTAATTTAACCATATTGCAGGATTTTTAGGTTTGTGACACTAGGGGTTGTACAATTTATATCTTTGTTTACTTATCACACGTTCGTAGAATCTCCATTGAAAATTTCCATCTTGTGCTTTGTAATCAGCCAAGTAATTTTAATTTGTAATTTATACATAACAGAAATATGTAATACTTTGCAAGTAAATAGAATAGTATAGATATTACTCAGTAATTTTCGTCATTTCACAATTTAGGTCGATTCTAAATTGACCTAAGTCATTTTTAAATTTTGAAACGATGTACGTATATTATTTCTCAATCGGTGAAAACATAAATTTATAGGGCAGCTTTTAATAAGCCATAAAAAATTTACTTAAATTTTTATATATAAAATTAAATTTAAATATTTTGCGTAATTTACTGCTATATTAAAAAATGAAATGCTTACATCCACCATGTAGAACACATCCACATCGTCGTGTACATAACAAGTTACTTTTTCAGCAGAAACTTTGTGGAATAAAACAATATCGCATATGAATCTTTTTATAATATAAAAAATAAATAAATAAAATAAAACAAACAAAAACCAGGTTTTGCCTTGACTAGCATGTTCTGTTGCTTGATGTCAGCACAAATTATCTCATAAAAATTTTCAATAAGCAGACTTACATCCCCAGATTATTGTCAGTTGGCTTAATCATATGAAGTTTTTAAGTCGTACTAACATAAAGATTCTAAAATTATGGGCCACCAATATTTAAATTTGGGGTTTGTAAATCGTTTGTATATTTAAGTACAGTTAAACATTGATTATATTTATTCGATCTACTAACTATGTTTGTTTTTCTTTGACGAATAAAAGTTTCTAAATTCGACCAAAGGTTTCGCGCACCAGGAAGTTGTATCATTCAATATTTAAAAATTAATAACGAAAAACTATAAAGATTTATTTAAATCAATGACTTTATTTTATTTTATTTTTTTTACCACCAATTTATATGACAATGTAATATATCTGTAGAATAATATTAAAATTTTGGGATCAAGTGGTGGCCCTCTTCCATTTTCCGCTGGGGTGTGCCCAATCATTCGATGTGGCAAATAAGCATCGACTAAATATATTTATAGCTGGCGTTTATTTATCACGACCAAGTGAATGGTCATCAATTACAGATTTCGTAGATTATTAATCGGCTTACGTCATTCTTTAATTTTCACCGATTGAGGATTTTTTATATTGATTTAAATAAGAAAAAATCTTTGGTTATTTATTAATTCAAAGTCTTTCACAAATATTTTCATTAATAATTATGGAACCTCAAAGATACAACTTTCTGTCCCGTGAATCTTTTGACTGAATCCTAAGAAACTTTCGTTGGTAAAAGGAAAAACAAACATTGTTTAATGGATAGGGATCGTTATTATGAGTGTTTGAACGTATTTAAAAATCCAAATAATTCACATAACCCAACCTTTAAATATTGGGTCACTCACACTTTTAAAATCCTTCTCATTGGTACAACTGAGGAACTCCATTTAAGCAAACAAGTTGGGAATAATTTAGGGACGCAGATTTGTCCTGTTGAAAGCTTCTATGAAATAATTTACTCAGCGTAACAAGCAACTGAACATGCTGGTCAAGATAAGACTTGGAAAAAAGTATGATATTAAACGTCTTCTCTTTTTTTTTTTTTTATAAATAAAAAATTAAATAATAAACTCAAAATTCAATTTAAAGATTCGTATGCGACATTGTTATATCCCACAAAAAGTGGTTGATGATGCCAAGGCAAAGTAATGTTAACAATGGATTAAATAAAAGTTGCAGAGAAAGAAATATATTTTCTAATAAGTAAGTAATTCATAAATAATACTATTATTATTTTTATGTATAATCTTATGGAAATAAAATTAAATTAATAATAAAACTTGATTATCGATTTAATAGTTCTTTGGATGAAAAAAATGAGTTATCTACTCGAAAAGAAACAATCCCAAAACAGTCAATTCAAAAAAATCTGGAGAATTATTGCCGTTGTCAAAAAACAAACTCCGGCACTAAAGCATGTTCTTGCCGAAGAAGCAATTTATTATGTACGAGACGCTGTGAGTGTGTTTTACGTGGTGAATGTAAAAATCAATAAACATTTTAAATTTATTTCGTAAGTAGTACATAATATTATACAATATGCATGTATAAATTTGTTATCATAAATTTTCGCCGATTGATAAATAAAGTAATTCATTTTCAAATTTATGAATGGCCCACGTTGATTAATAATCAACGTAAATGGAGAAACGACGCAAAACAGTCACACCCAACGCTTAAGTTTCGTAGTGTTGCATTAAGAATTGACCCATGTTATTTCTAAATCTGTGAAAATTTAAGTATTATTATTTTGGATCGTAAACCATTACGAAAAAAGATATACTGTACAAATAGCTTAAATTTGAACGATAAAAATACTATAAAGGTATAAAGAAATGAAGAGAAATTGATTGAATCAGATAGAAATAACTTTTAGATATTTTTGAAAATGGTGATTTCATTTTATTAAAATTTATAATTTAATATAATTTGTGCTTGATAAATAATAGCTTAGAAAATTTAATTTGCCCAAATTACTTTAATGATAATGCGTAGCGTTCAATCTAGAACATTAGAAAATATTTAAGGGGTGCCTAATATTAAACCATTGAAACAATAATAATAAGATTTGGTTTTGTGTAACATAGGCGGTAACCACACACTTTTCATGTTCACACAAATATTTAAGATCTATTATTATGCGCAAGATTATGCACGATGTAAACAACTAATTTTAAGTTGAATTTAGAAACTTATAACCAATAATATTTGCAATATGAACGCGAAAAATTTCGAACGGCTTAAAATTACGCCGTAGAATTTTGTCTTTTCCGATGTTTTATAATAAATTTTGTGCACTATCTTTCATTGTCATCTTAATTATTATATATAACGATCAATTCACATATCCAATAAAAAAATTCGATTGAAATAAAAGAAAAACAATGTATTCGTAAATCTAGACATAAAAAGAGACTAATAAAGAGACTAATAAAGAAACTAATAAAAGACTCATAAAAAAACCAATAAAAAGACTAATAAAAAGACTAATAAAAAGACTAATAAAAAGACCAATAAAAAGACTAATAAAAAGACTAATAAAAAGACTAATAAAGAGACTAATAAAGAGATTAATAAAGAGACTAAGGAGCTTTTTTTTCAACTTTGGACGCCTGGATTTTGTATATTAAAACATATAATAATTGTATTTGCAATTATTTGTACAACCCATAAAAAAGAAAAAATAACACGATCTAACTTTTATACGGAAAAATTTTATGGAAAAATTTGGATATCTGATATTTGATACAATCAAGTTTACGCATGTACTGTACGTACGTACAGTACGTACATACACGATACATACACATAGATCGGCTAAAAATTATAAAAATTAATTATTAAAACTAATAAGGCGTGACAATTGAAATCGGTTAGTAATGTAATACATATTAGATTTCAAAATAGATGCTTTAATTATTATAAATTTACCTTGCGTATCTGATGCATAAGTCAGTTACCTGATGATTAGTATTTTGAAATGCGACATCTGTAATCTGGAGCAAAAGGGATATGAAACACAACATTATACTACAAAGGAAAAAAAAAATGCGAAATGTAAGTCACCATTCCTAGTAATTGTTTTGGCAAAGATATCGTAATACAAATTAATATAAGTAGTAAAAAAAACATTGAAATGCCTAACTACGACTACATATAGTAAAAGTGAATCATTGTTAAATATTAGTACAGTACATATCTACATGCACCATATTTTACACAAAGTTACATAAGATCAATAAGATCAATAAGATTAATATGTTTTTGATACAACTTTACAATTTTTTAAATGAAAATCCGATTATTTGCATAAAAAAGAAAATGCTATGAGTGACAAACTTCGTGAATGCATAATTTTTTTTTTTAGCAAAAAAAAAATAAAAAATCCTATTCGAGTGCTACTAAAGTGAATATTTATAAGCACAAATTTAATTTTCACAATACCAGAGTTTTAAAGAGTTGTGATATTACGTCATTTGATTAATATTCTCATCGTTTTGGGCACACAAATGCATGATTTTCTGTTAAGTTTAATTAAAATGAAAATTTAGATTTGTACGTGTAAGGCATTTTAAAATTAATCTTTAGCATGGGCATTTGTTCTTCTAAATTAAGCGAAAAAGCCGATTCTATAAAGTCACCAAAAGAAGTAGAATTTCAATACATTGATGGTAGAAGATTTCACAATGTAGAAACTGTTGTATATCCTCTACCAAATGATGAAGATGAAACAGATAGGCTACACTTTCGACATTTTTTAACTAGATATATCTGGCAAAGTAATTTTTCGGCTCCTATCAACCATCTCTTGGATAATTCAGAAACCGAAATTCTTGATGTTGGGTATGTAATAATAATAATAATAATAATAATTATTATTATTATTATTATTTTATCATTATCATTTGATTGATTATGCTCAATCGGAGTTCTCAGGATTTATAATTCTGAACTTTCATATTGCATATTAATGTAATTGGACCTTCAAAAAAGAGATTCAAGTTGCATTAATTTCAATTTTATTAATCATCTATGCATGTTAATAAGGAAAATTATTAAAGGCTTTTTATTAAACTTTTTGTATACTAATTTCGAATTTTCGTAATTTTAGATGCGGCGCAGCATCATGGTCGTTTGATATGGCGACAACGTACGTACGACCATTTATACATTTTTCAATTCTTGATTCTTGTTGAAAATTATTCACTTAATAAATACACACACATATATATTAGGTATCCATCAGTTAACATTATTGGAATAGATATTTCGCAACAACAACCGACACAAATAAAACCAAACAATTTCAATTTTGTTAAAGCAAATGTTCTAGAAGGATTACCATTCGAAAATAATTCTTTTGATTATGTATTTCAACGTAATTTAATGGGGGCATTTAGTGAACAGGATTGGATAATTGTAATAAATGAGCTTGTCAGAGTTTTAAAACCAGGTGGCTTCATAGAGGTATGTTTATTTTTCAACTTTAATATTGATGAATATTGAAATTGGTTTCGACTTTCATCAATTAAAGTTTTAAAAACAAAAATATCAAAAATAGTTCAATTTTAACACCATAATTAAAATTTTAAAAAAAGTTAATGGAACATTCCATGTTATACAATATGGGTCCAGCTACTAAATGTTTATGTGATGCTCGTGCGTACCTTATAATTGTTAATTTTATTCTTTTTTTACTTTGTTTTACCTTATACTAATCCTTTATTCAATATCATAAAGAAATGGATGCTATGAAAATACGAGGCACCGACCCGTTCATAACTCTGAAATTATCTAGAATTTTACAAAACCAAGGTTTTTCTTGTTTTATTAAATCATAAAACATGGTTTTATTTTTTTTTATCGAATCATAAATTATGATTTTTATAATTACATATTCATTAAATTAGGTCAATTAGAAAATGTTAAAGAAGAAGTAAGAGAATGCCATCATGGTGCAAGTTCTAACCAAGCAGAACTTAATCTTAGTAAGACGGTAATGGATTTTTCAAAATTATGATTCTCATGTTTTTTATGAAAACAGTGCTAAAAAAATTTTTTTAATATCACTTGGATAAATAGGCTGTCAGCAACATGGTTACTTTGTATGCTGCTTGGAAGCCTCGTTTAGCAAAAGCTATGCAAATTTCTTTCGAAGAATTTGACGAGTTGGCTAAAATATCGGAAAAAGAACTATTTGAGTATGATACTTATTTTAAATTAGTTCGCGTTTATGCAAGGAAAGTGGCCAATGTTAATAATTAAATAATAGGTTAAAATAATGTAATGGCAAAACATTTAATTTATATTGATATATGGCGTTAATATTCGTGATTTTGAAATAACAAGTTTAGAAAAAGATAATGTTATTTCATATCATAAGTTTATTTATTTATTATTTATTTATTATTTATTTGTTATTTTTTTTATTTATTTAAAAGAATTTAATTAAGATAATAGACAGCTTCGTGCTACACTAAGAACATATATTATAGTTAAATCATGATTGATCATCTTGTATAAGCAATAAATAAGAATAAGATTTATTGAAATAAAGTATTTGTTCAAATTATTTGGTTGATTAATGCGTCATTATTCAAGCAACTTATTGTGAAGTGGCAACAAATTAAACCCAGAATTCATGCAAATTGCATCCTTATTGTTCGTTGGTTAAATTCAATATATTTATGGTTTAATAACGTTAGCATTAGCATTATCAACAAGAAATAAAAAATAAATCTTTTTTAGGCCTATTTTATTAATGCTTTTAAATTCTGTATCTTAATTTTTTTATTTTCTTGCATTTCTGAACAAACCCCGTGAGAAATTGTGATGCAACTTGAACGGGGTTCACTGTGTTCGACAATCGATACTATTAGAATTAAGGGTATAGATTCTAAACTCTGGTGGATTTTTAATTAAGCCTATTAAGATCTCTTCCTAGATAAACATTATAATAATAATACCCCGATCACTATTCAAGATCACGGGAGTATTAATTTCCGGAGCAGAGCGGAGGATCTTAAGTCCAGACAATAGGTAAGAAATTTTGGGTTCCAACCTCCGTCACAAGTATATACATATTTCATAATTCCAATTCGATAATCGATCAAAGTCATATCAGTTATTGTTTTTAGATGTACAGATTGTGGTATACGATGACGTATTAAAATTTAACTTCTATAGCAGTTTAATTTAATTTAACATCCATATTTGATATTAATTTTTCACAATAACTTATGGTTATATGGTCTTTATATAATAACTGCAGTAATAAAACAACATTGGCAGTATTGGTCTCTTTAAAAGATATTAAAATTTCTTTATATTGTAAAAGCAGAAATATTTTGGCTAATAATGAAAATATTATATTTTTCTTTAATGTAGTAAACATAATGTAATAAGTTCTAATAAAACTAATTCGTGTAAATAAAAGAAATTAAATTCACATAAATAACGATTTCCGGAGCAGAGCGGAGGATCTTAAGTCCAGTCAATAGGTAAGAAATTTTGGGTTCCAACGTCGGTCACAAGTATGTACAGATTTCATAAGTCCAATCGATCAAAATCTATCAGTTATTGCTGTTTTTAGATGTATGTGATGTATGATGACATATTAAATTTTAACTTCTATAGCATATTTAATTTAACTTCTATATGAACATCCATATTCGATATTAATTTTTCACACTGCAATAACTTATGGTTATATGATCTTAATATAATAACGGCAGTAATACAACAAAATTGGCAGTATTGGCCTCTTTAAAAGATATTAAAAATTTCTTTGATATTGTAAAAGCAAAATATTTTGGCTAATAACGAAAATATTATGTTTTTTTTTAATGTAGTAAACATAAAGTAATAAGCTCGAATAAAGTTAATTCGTGTAACATAAAAGAAATCAAACTCGCATAAATAATTTCTGAAGCAGAGCGGAGGAACTTAAGTCCAGACAATAAGCAAGAAAAAAATTCTGGGTGTAGGATAAATAAAATCTCAAAATTACCATTCTCTTTCAATTGATCAGAATTATATTATTATTGTAGCTATTATTATTTAGTAATATGGTATATATATTGGTCTTTAAATTTAACTTTGGTTCCGGGCGTAGGGTAAAAAAAATTTTCCAAATTATTATTTCGTCCAATCGATCATAATTACAGCAGTATTGTAGTTATTGTTATTTAATATATAATATATCGTTCAAATTTAATTTTTAATTATTGTCGTTTAAATGTCCATAACTTATCGTTCTTTAAACTTGACTTTAAACCAATACTCTTATTAGAAGAATTGGGGTAGGAAATTCACTAACATATTAAAAAAAGCTCAAGAATGCAAGAACGAATGCTTAAAGAGAAACGGCTTATAGATATAAGCAAAATTTTTAATTAATTTCATATTTAATATGATCATAAAAATTTAAATAGTTTGTTCTCATAATCTGACTGATTCAGTTTTTTAAAATCTTTATGAAATTACTTTTTAAATTAAATATTTTATGTATTTTCTTAGAGCCGGGCTAAAGCTGCTATAAAAATTCAAATTGGCTTGGTTACGGTGGATATGAATATCCATTTTAGTCTATTTTTCGAATAATTGCGAATTTCAGATATCCGTTTGTAAATTATCTGACTAAATCTATTGAATTAATTAAAAATACAGACGATTCTAGATATAATTGGGTTTCAAAATTAACAAATAAGTGACGCATTTCAAAAATAAATATGATTTTCGATAGAATTTTTATTATTTTGAATTATAAATCGGAAAAATAAAATAAGATTCTCCGATTTTAATTTTGAAACCTCTAATGAACTTTTTATAATAAAAACAAGCCAAATAGAACAAAAATATTGAATATTTTATTATAAGAATTATTATAAAAAAAGCTAGTCGCAATTAGAATGTGTATTTTATCAATATTATCAATACATATATTATTATTCAGAAAAATTTCGCTTGAGATTTGCTAGATAATTAATCTTTATCATCAATTATTGCGATTATGAATAAAAAATATATAAAAAGATAAAATACGTTTTTATAAGAAAAAATCCTCTAATCTATGAATGCATCATTATTACAGTATTAATCAAGTATCAGATATCTGACTATCTACAAATATATTTTCGTTATCTGATATGAACAGATATCTAATAGAAAATCTGATGGATTTTTTAAACGGATCCAAGCATTAATTCAAATGCAATGAGAGCTAATTATTTAAATTCTTGCGACCTAATTATTATTTAAACGATTTAAACTCTTATGATCTAATTATCTAATTATTTAAATTCTTGTGCTCTAATAAGTGAAAGAACAATCCTTTAAGTAATTAATCACATTATTAACTTAATTTATAGTGTTCCATCCATTAAATTGCATTTACAAAGATAAGGCCTTCTTACATTTTATTGGACAGTATATGATAATTATGCATTTATGCTAAATGATTTTTTTATTAATATCTTGAAGCGGCGCTCCGGAACCTAACAGATCCCATTTTTTTAGTTAATAATACCCTGACCGTATGTGAATTAGCGGGACTTTCAGCCCTACTAATACCCAACGGATCAGGATATTATTATTACTAATTAACCAATATATAAAATATATATATATATCAATTATTATGATTTTCTTATATCTATACCTGCTTTTATCCAACATTACATTTTTTTGTGCAGATACTGGGAGAAACTCTTAGCGAATGCAGATAATATACCCCAACTATAATAATACAGTCACTATCTATATAGTCATACCCTCTTTATAAGCACACTAATTTTTAGAACAACTTATATAAAATATAAGAAATTTGACCTTTATACAGGCACAATTGCTTATAAACACAGATTTTCTTGGAACTGAGGGCGTGACTATAGAGAGGTTTGACTATATCATTAACAAGTGCAAAGAATGATAATTATTTTTATAAATTAATAATATTTAGAAACTTGGCCTTGAGGACGATGGCACAATTTGGAGATAGGATAGTGGGTTCATTGTGAGAATTAGGATTTTTCAGATGAAGGCTCCAAAATAAAGTGATTGGAGTATCAACAACATAAAAAATTTATATTATTGCATAATTTTTTATTATATTCTGTGATGTCTTTTAATGAGATTCATTCTTTATAAAAATGTACCAGATTTGTACAGATATGGTCTGAGTTGGTATGGATTTGGTATACCTTGTTGGGAACGTATGCCATTGGGGTATTGTATATCAAATAATTTAATATCATAGTGCAGTGCTATATATTGTGAGTCCCAGAATATAACATGGGGATCCGGTAATTGGTCACGTGAAAAATGCACGAAGTGCAATTTATTACATTCTTGATCGAGAATGGCATATTAGATCCAAAGGGGTATATGAGAGGATAAAGGGAGGATATCAGTAGAAATTAAACATTCTTAAAAATATTACAGAAAATAAATATAATTAGTTTTATATAGTTTTATTAAATATTAGTTGTAAAGTTGCATTTGTGAGTGACTAAATTTCATCTTATAAATAAAGGCCGAATTGGCTCTCAAGAGTAAAAATTGCTCATTGCTTTATTAATTAATAAGTCCCTATTCTATAAAAATCACCCATAATAATACACTACCCTTATAACCCTAATAACCTAAAAACATTAATAAAATTGTTCACTTGATTGCTTGATCACGTGACTTAACTGACCCTCTTTCGTTGACCAAGTAACCGAAGCCTTAATCACCCACTAGCCAAATCAAACACGCCTCTTTGTAAGGTTACTTACTGCAGTTTTTGGATTGAAGAGTGACTGAGTCGCAGTTATCCTGACCATAACATTTTGGTAATGACTGTGAGATTGTATAATATCCTGTCAACAAATCTTGAGGAGATCGTTTCAAGCAGCTGGGCTACAAAATTAGAAGACTCTAAACATAAAAGAAAGAAAAGAGATTCCGGCCTGATTTGACGTACTATAATCCTAACCATGGTATAAGAGAAGAATTAGCATAGTTCTAGTTAGTACTAACAAAGTGTGGAAAGCCAAGGTTGGAGAAAAAGAGAGAACTTACACAAAAAGAAGAGTGCCAACCCCAATTCGACATATTGTAATTCTGGGTTGAGGCATCAAGAAAGAGAAGAGTTAGTAA